ATAAGCGCTCCCTCTACGTCAATTAACATAACAATTAAGAGGCGAATCTACTGCTGACAACCCCAAACAAGTCCACAGTAAGTGCTTACTATGCTGACTACCAGGACTTCAACTGGATTACTTTCACCAATATTTGTTGATTAATTAAATCTCATAAAATATATTTATATCTGTCTAGGGTTTTAAATAAATAATTATTTGATTTATTATATTTTATTAAATAAATTATTACTGTAAAATGAACTAGGACAAGAAAGCGCAGAACGGGTAACTACCACCTGCCACTGGTGGCCAGCGAGAGCGCTTGTGCATTCTTCCGCCTCATGACAGGGAAATCCATTCATTAATTTCTACCCATTCACCCACTCCCACACTCATAATCATTCGCACCCACTCGCTGGCTTGCACCCCGAACTAAAATTCGTTTAGCAATATTTATTTATTTGGTTATTTGGCGTTTTCATGTTCCACCTAGCAGGAGATTCCGTGAAACAATGAGCGTTCTTCACGGCTACGTCACAAGATGGGACTGTTGCCGGGGATTCGTCATGCCGCATGCAACACCTGCGCTGGCCATACCCCTTTTCGTTAACAGATTTGTTCAATATTTGGACAATTACTTGCCACTTTTTCTGAGCAAGTACTGTGAGTGATTCCCCATCAATGTTTGATGCTTGCCCAAGACAACGATCCATGGAAAGTTTTGGACAATGTCCAGAGACCAAACGGGAGAGCATGCCATATTTTGGCAGTTCTAACAGACCAAAAGTTCCCCTAAACCCAAAGCCACAAAATTAATTCAGTTTCGGCTTCAATAAAAGCAGCTCAAACACGATTTAAAGCTATTTAAAAATCATAAACTTAAACGCTAGTGTGTGAGACAGACGAGGGTATTGAGGTAGGCAAGAAATAAATAAAGAAATGGCAAAATCAGATTCGGATTCCCTTGATTTCCCCACCAAGCATTTATTTCTAACATTTCTAAGTTGAAAATTATTTGTAGTCTGCAACAAACATACAATTAGAGATAAATACTTAATGTTAATGTGCGTAATTATATGGCAAATGGCGTATCACTCACCAAATAATTATGGCAACAACTGAAAACCCTTTCACGCCAGGGACTTTTTTTTGTACTAAGCAAAAGCTAAAGCGCTGCTGAGGTGTTCGGCTGGTAGCGACTGCGAGAGCACTCAAAGAAAGAGGCGGCATAATGACCAAAGCGGGTTTCCCAGCCAACCGATCGACCAAGCCGAAATCTCCGTGCAAGTAATTTGAGAGTGATCACGAGATGGTGAACGTCAATAGAAGTGCTACCATGGCGAACACCTTACACACAGGTAAACGACAGCGAGAGAGAGAGAGAGAGAGAGAGATCGAGAGAACGCACAGACAAGAGCGCCACACGAAGCCTCCCAGTAGTACAGTTTCTATATAAAGACGACTGCAGCCTCGGTGTTCAAGTCATTCGCGCAAAGGAAAACGTCGAAGCTGCAGCGAGCAAGCACGCACGTGATAACGGGATAATACAGTGATTGAGAAAAGTTTGTGTGTTCCTGACTTGTGTTTCGTTAGCCCCCAAAGAAATAGTCGTACATAGCACGCAAAGAGAACGACAAACAAAGTGGTGTCAACATTGTAAACAAGAGAAAAAGTGATAATCAAATTACTAAAATGGATGTAGAAGATTTTCGCAAATACGGCAAGGAAGTGATCGATTATATATGCCAATATAGCACCAATATAGAAGAGCGCGATGTGGCACCAACATTGGATCCGGGTTACCTGAAAAAACTACTCCCAGGTAAGCAGGAAAAAACTCAAAAAGGATTCCAAATAGTAGACTGTTTGGTTTACCCTAAGCATTTCTGCGGACAAGTACAAGTTTCTTTTTTTGCATGTGCGAAGGAAATTCTTATTTATAGAGCAAGTGATAAATCGTATACAGTAATTAGCAAACTATTCCTAAATAAATTGGCAATGAATCTGAAGAAAGAAAACATATTTCGCTTCGCACAAAATAATTAAAGAAAGTCGAAACGCCAAACAGAAATCACTCTCGAAAGCCAAAAACTTGTTGTTAAATCATGTTGACTAATTGCTCGGCTCTGCAAAGGCATTCGAATAATGTACGAATATAAACTATTCGAAAATCCCCAGCCAACCCACACACCCACGTACATTGGGTACTACTACATACCTCCACAATAAGAGGCGCGGGCGTGGAGCATAATTGGGGCACACACTCAGCAGCCGTCTTCGATGAAGTTGGCAGGCTGTGGCAGGCAGGCAGGCAGGCAGGCCGAATTCGGTGTTAGCGCAGGGAGATTTCAGGCGAATTCCGCGCAGTTTGTTAAGTTAAATATTTACACCCGAATGGACGAATGGACGAATGGACGCCGCAATTCAACGCCGGGTTCAACTAAACAAATCAATTAATTATGCATACGCAAACACACACCTTCGGCCTTATACTCGTCCCAACTACTTGTAGATGTATGTACAGATGTGTAGGGGCTTACTTGTTGATCATTCTACTCACTGCCAAAAATAACAAATCTACCATAAATATTGATGCCGATCTGCTGGTCCGTCTTTATAGGTGATAAAAGAATTATTTAGTGGGCACCACGGACTGACTCCAGGCTACCTTTTTGTTTATCCCACAGCGGACGCACCACAATCGCCGGAATCATTCAAAGATGTGCTCGAGGACTTTGAGCAGAAAATCATGCCGGGCGTCGTGCACTGGAACCATCCAAAGTTTTTTGCCTACTTCCCTTCGGGCAATTCGTTTCCCTCCGTCCTGGGGGACATGCTGAGCAGTGCCATTGGGTCGATCGGCTTCAGTTGGGCCAGCTGTCCGGCAGCCGCCGAGCTAGAAACGATTGTCATGAACTGGTACGCCAAGGCCCTGGGTCTGCCGAAGGCCTTCATTTCGGATGCGCCCGGCAGCACTGGCGGTGGAGCCCTCCAGGGCTCTGCCTCCGAGTGTGTGCTCGTTTCGCTAATCACGGCGCGTGCTCGAGCCATCAACGAGCTGAAGGGTCAGACCACAGTCCACGACAGCGTCTTCCTGCCCAACCTGATTGCCTATGCCAGCCGCGAGGCGCACTCCTGCGTGGAGAAGGCCACCAAAATGGCCCTAGTCAAGCTGCGCATCATCGACGCTGATGTGCATGGACGCATGCGCGTGGATCTGCTCAAGCAGGCCATCCAAAACGATGTCAACGCTGGCCTTACGCCTTTCTTTGTGGTGGCCACGGTGGGCACCACGGGAGGCTGTGCCTTCGATGACATCACAGAGATCGGCAAGGTCTGCCGACAGGTGTCTAGCATTTGGCTGCATGTGGATGGCGCCTATGCTGGCAACTCCTTCATTCTGCCCGAGATGCGCGTGTTCTCAGCTGGCCTGGAATACGCCGACTCGTTCAACACGAATCCCAACAAGCTGCTCCTCACCAACTTTGATGCCTCTGCCCTTTGGGTGCGCGATGTGATGAATCTCAAGAGTGCGCTCAATGTGAATCCGCTCTACCTCAGGCACGAGCACATGAGCGGCGTGGACTACAGACATTATGGCATACCGCTGAGCCGTCGATTCCGTGCCCTGAAACTCTGGTTTGTTTTCCGCATATACGGCGTAAAGGGTCTGCAGGAGTACATACGCAACCACATGGCCCTGGCCAAGAAGTTTGAGATGCTGGTGCGAAAGGACGATCGCTTTGAGGTGCGCAATGATGTCCACTTGGGTCTGGTCTGCTTCCGCATGAGGTATGTTGAGAAAGCTGAGCCTTGCCACAAGAATTACTTATCAAATTTCCGTACTTTTTGTATTCTCTGTAGAACTGGCGACGAGCCCAATCACACGCTGCTGGCCATGATCAATCATTCGGGGAAAATGCACATGACGCCGGCCAAATTCAATGGCCGCTACGTAATCCGCTTCTGTGTCACCTATGAGCATGCCTGCGAGAAGGATATCCTAGATGCCTGGAGCCAAATCAAGTGCTTCGCAGAGGAGATCCTGCGCGACAATCAGCTGGAGATCAGTTCTGCCCCGGCCTCACCAGAAGCTGAGCGCACCAGCTCAGAGCCGGCGGCACCTGTGGCCGGCAAGCCGCCCATCAAGAAGAAGCTGACGAGAACCAAGTCGCTGCGCTTCTCCTTCACTCGCAGCATCTCGCGGGAACAGTACCAGAATCAGAGCGAGCATCTCGGGGATGGCGCTACACCGATCCTAGTGGTAGACCCGAAAACACTGCAGCAGAACTTTCAGAAAGCGGCAGAGGAGAACGAAAGGTTGAATAACATTAAGAACGGAAACACCGCCAATAGCAATGCGAAGCTCAAAGATATATCGGACGTGGACACCGACGAGGCGAGTAATTGAGCGTAAGCCTCTGGACAGAGGCTTTCCCCGATATACCTAGAGCTAGTATTAGTTGTGTGTGGAGCTGAGATGAGGCCTGTACCTAACGTTTTGCTGACGTTGAATTTAAGTACACTATTTATGCATTTAGAGCCTAAGTTTCGCCGCTGAATTTCATTCGATTCAACTATGAAGTCATACCATTTGTATTTGATAGTATTGTGTATTTATATCTAGTGAACTATCATGAACAAACGCACTTATTTATAAACATTTACTGGCATTTGATATGCACATTTTCTAAAAGTCGTTGTACCGTTCTTGGGAATGTCTTTTGGGTTGTGATGGAATACTGCACTCAACCATAGTGTAAACACAATGCAAAACAGCTGCTCAGAACTTTTCAAGCTGTGCATGTCCATGGAACAAGTGCAAGGTACTATTCCATCCGGATGACTTACCACTTCCGGGTTTGTGCTAGAAATAAGTACACTAAATCACCACAAAAATATAAACAAAACACTCTTCACTTCACACATGTGATTACAATCGATAGAACCGGCTTTTTGGACTACCGATAGAGTATTGAAATATGTATCGGTATTTCTGGTGTGCTGCCGTTATCGATACATCGCAAAAAAGTAAACAAAACGCTGCCGGCACGCGAACATCTTGAATTTGTTAAATTACATTTGAATAACTTAAAATGCCGAACTGGAACCAAATTCAGTCGCAGCTGCGCAGCTCCAACAACCCAGTCGTCTTTTTCGACATTGCCGTGGGCACAACAGTGAGTGGAAATATATATATGCTTATATCAAATATTTACTGGAACCATCTTGGCATGCAGGAAATCGGGCGAATGATCTTTGAGCTGTTCGCAGACACAGTGCCGCGGACGGCGGAGAACTTTCGACAATTCTGCACAGGAGAGTATCGACCTGATGGTGTACCCATTGGCTACAAGGGCGCCAGTTTCCACAGAGTAATTAAGGATTTTATGATACAAGGCGGTGACTTTGTCCAGGGCGATGGCACCGGCGTCACCTGCATCTATGGCAACACATTTGGCGATGAGAACTTCACCTTGAAGCACGACTCACCTGGCTTGCTGGCCATGGCCAACAGCGGGAAGGACACAAATGGGTGCCAGTTCTTCATCACCTGTGCAAAATGCAACTTCCTGGATGGCAAGCATGTGGTATTTGGACGAGTGCTCGATGGTCTGCTTATTATGCGAAAGATTGAGAATGTTCCCACGGGGCCCAACAACAAGCCCAAGCTGCCAGTGACGATTTCACAATGTGGACAAATGTAGAGTAGATGTTTGGGTATTTGAATTTTGTATAAATAAATAAATGTTGCTATACAGTGTCTGTAAACAAAGCGTATTGAAGCGAGTTTGTTATTTTTTAAATGTCCTTGTTGAAGTAGGGCGAATAGCCGCCCGACAGCACCTTCTCCTTTCGCAGTGTTCTGCAGTCTTCGATCATGAAGCTGAAAGAAAAAAAGTTTATTAACAACAGCATACGAGATGTGAGAGATTTGCAAACCCACTCGTAGTAAAGCGAAACCAGAGGGACTGTTGCAAAATGCCACAGCGCATGGGCATCGAGAATCCAGCCTATGGGCGGAAAGTCCAACAGCTCGAGGCTCATGGCCAGAGCAAATAGCACGTAGAATCGAAGAATCCTCCGGAAGTAGGGACGCCGGGTGCGTACTCGATGACACCAGATGAACCAACCCACGGCGGACAGAACACCGGTGGCAATATTTACTTTCATATTGAAGGAATAGTTGAATTTACCGACACTCAGATAGGCAAAGTAGTTAATGTAGTAGGACACAATGGCGAGCGTGATCACACCGCGTAGGAACAGCGAGTAACGATGAAGCATTCGCATCACCATGCAATAGAATGTGCAGAGCACAATGGAATAGGCGAAGGCATAGTCCAGCAGCTCAGTCAAGGGAAAGTCTCTCGTGTGGAATATTGAAGACCAGATCCAGCCATTGAGACACGTCTGAAAATGCAACGTACATAAGTGCAAATAGTACTAATTAGTTCCCCTCAGGCTAATTACCACTCCGAATATGTGTGCCAGCATGTAACAAGGGCTATCTGGACGCACTTCTCGTCGAAACTTGCGCAGCATTCGGTAGTGCATAATAAAATTAAATACTGAGAATATGACCGATGCCGGCTCCTGCATTCCCAGCATTCTTAGAAATGGCCACTTGCCATAGAACTGAGGTATGGGCCAGGCCCGTTCCGCAAAGGCAGCCACTGTCCGCCACATGCAGCCATACTGGCACTCGTCTGCACAGCTCCACTGAAAGATCTGATCGAATACCGACTGTTTATAGAAATTCACTGCTTGCTCCTGTATTTCCAGCCCATCTGCAAAAAGAACAAAAGGGGGTCAGGTGCACTATATTCAGTACATATTTGAATAATTAATTCGCTCACCTGCCGAGCAGTTGGTTCGCTCGCAGTTCTGCCGGCAGTTGTGAAAGAATTGAGTACGGTCACCATTGGAGGCATCAATCAATTTTGGAAAAGAATATAAATATACACAAGTACAGAACGCATACAATGCAAGCGATGGCATTGCTTCAATGTTCGGGGTCCGCTGTCCGCGGCACTTGAAGCTTATTCCTATCTGCACCGAATATTTTGTTAAAAAGTTATTGATTTATCGTGCAAGGGTATCGATGTTTTCACTGCAGTATCGATAGGTGACAGCATTGCGCGAGGCAATCTTCGTCTCTATTTACTTCTGTATTGTGCGGAATTGAATCGCGGAAAACTAGTTAAAATGTGCTCTGGAAACAATAAAACCAGACAATGAAGCTATATTGGTGTACCTAGGGAACAACTCGGGTAGCTACAGCCTCCATCGAGGCCATTGCAGGTGGAATTTTTCAACAGAGAGTGGGCGTCAGTGGGAGTTAATGATAGAGAGGGGGCGACGACGTCAGAGGGAGAGTGTGTGAAACTGGTGCAATATTATTAATTTGTAGGCAATGCATCTGCCGGATCGAAGCCGCTTCACGCGAGCCTATATTTAGCGCATGACGCATGGTCAGCCAGTGGGGAGTGCTCTGCGATCTCGTTAGACAGAAGCTGTGCCTCCAATGTCCTCCAAGTATCAGACGGCGAATAGTGATGCCATCGCCTTGCCCGCGTACCCACTAATCCCGAGCAGGGACCCAAGGGATCAACGCAAGTCGCAAAGTAATAAGGTAGGTTGTTTTCGTCATCAGCCAATCCTTATCTCATTCTCAATTTCTCTCTTATCTACGATCAGCAACGAGAGCCATTCGTATTCTTCATAATGCGACTAAATTTGAAAGCAGTGATGCTCGTTTTAACCGTGGCCGTGGTGGTGATAACCTTAGGCGTTTATATGCGATGTGCCGCCTTCTCATTTTCACCGGACTTTGTGCGTCAGTTTAATCGGCACCATGATAGTCAATCCTCCAGCGCTGCGCAAACCTCGGATGCGCTTCAGGACATTGAGTGCTCCATCAATCAGGAGTACAGCGTTCACTGCAAGCGAGATGAGAATGCCAACGAGGTGTACGTGCCCTTCTCGTTCCTGCGCAACTACTTCGACGTGAGCGGAGCAGTCACAACCAGCGGCACTGAGGTGGCCAAATTTAATTGGATGCACAGCACAGCCAAGGTTAATCTGCCCAAGGGCAAGTACGATGCCCGTGGCGTGTTCATGTACTTTGAGAACTACAACGTAGAGGTGCGCGACCGTGTGAAGTGCATCAGCGCCGCCGAGGGAGTTCCCGTGAGCACGCAGTGGGAGAAGCGGGGCTACTTCTACCCCACGCAAATAGCCCAGTTTGCCCTATCCCATTACAGCAAGAATCTGACGGAGCAGCCGGCCCGAGTGCACATTTTGGAGGATGGCGATGGCTATCAGATGGACTGGACAACGCCCAAGACCAGTAATATGACACGCATCTGGCATCATAAGTTCAATACCAGCGTGGTTCAGTTCGAGACGGCCATTGGCTACGAGAGCGCCATCAGCATCGCCCTCAACCAGACACTGGATCTACTTTTGAGCGTGGATCTGCTTCTGGTGACCAACAGCAGCAGCCTTATGGTCACGGTCCAGAACCGTGACACCAAGCACAGCTATAACCTCCATTATATTCCCGCCGATCTTCTACTCAGTGTGCAGGACTCGAACATCTATTACGGATTGGGTGCATCGGCTCTGAACAAATGGCGACACGTCACCCGGGATCTGCACATCGATGTGCAGAAGGGCATCGTGCTCGGCGATAAGCGATCACCGCTGAAGGTACGCCGCTCCGATTTGGAAGTGCTGTCCGTCGCCTTCCTGGGCATCGGCTTCTACGACAACATTACGTTATCCACCAGCGAGCACATGGCACATTTCTATGATGCTGCCGAATGGTTTGTCCACAATCAGGACCCCAAGTCAGGTGGCTGGACGAACCCAGTGCGCCGTAGTCTCAATGGTTTTACCGAGCTGCGTCCAGGTTGGATTTCGGCCATGGGCCAGGGCCATGCCATATCCGTGTTGGCGCGAGCGTACTGGCATTCCGGTGGCGATGAGAGGTACCTCAAGGCAGCTGCAGCAGGACTCCAGCCATACAGGGTATTCTCGCAGGACGGCGGCGTTCTGTCGCAGTTCATGGACAAATTCTATTGGTAAGTTGGTCAGAAATAAATGGCTTAGGCGTCTTATGTGATGTTTTCTCAATCAACAGGTACGAGGAGTATCCCACAACGCCGCCATCATTTGTGCTAAACGGTTTCATCTATTCGCTATTGGGTCTCTACGATCTGAACAGCACGGCGCCAGCTAAAATCGCACGAGAGGCTGGCCAACTGTTTGCCCAGGGCATGTACTCGCTGAAGAAGATGCTTCTGCTGTACGACACGGGCTCCGGCACCAGCTACGATCTGCGGCATCTCAGCCTTGGTGTGGCACCAAATTTGGCACGCTGGGACTACCATGCAACGCATGTGAATCAACTGCTACTTTTGGCCACCATTGACAGCGACCCACTGATTGCACAGACCGCTGAGCGCTGGAAGGGCTATATGTTTGGCAAGCGGGCCAAGCACAACTGAGAACTAAGGAAACTGGCGACCTATCGTCGTCGAAAAAGTGATATTTTGTAAGGCTTAATCATAATGCTTAACCATTCTAAATGGTTGCATCTTGTGCCGTGCCCTTTCCACATCCCCACACTCCCGTTTCGGACCATCGCTCGTATGATTTTCGTCCTCGTCCTTGTGCTTAATATTTGATTTATGAATTTATTGTATTAAGCTAATGTTTAAAGTTAAGCTAATGTACCTTTAGGTTCGATTGCTGTTGGCCTCATCTTTAATCATCTGTTGACCCATCTTGATAGCGTAATTGTTTCCTAACAGAACTAGATGCACGCGTACTTCACTGGACAATATCGAACAAATTTATTAGAAACTTACCGCTTAACCTTCGTAGTTGACTGTTGTAGTAAGACGTTTTTTACTGCGCAAACTAAGTAGAGTTCGTTACACTCCCCCCGCCCTGTATAAAGTAATGTGTAGAGAGCTTAGCGCTGTAGCTGTAGAACGATTAGATCCCACATAAACATAGATAGTATATCAGTTGGATGCATATTCGGTATTCCTACCAGCCACACACACCTATTTCTCCTTACCGTACAAGGTAGTTGAAGTGTTCCAACGCGAATGTTGAACATAGATACATATGCACGATACGATAATAACAATTTCTATATGATCAGCATGTAAGGTAATGTAGCGTAGGCCACTTGAGGATATTTCCACACTTATCTCGACATAAACGATGCCATTCCACTAATTATTTTAATTTGTATGCCCTGGCAGAAGAGAGTATTATGATTTGGACCAAACCATTGCAACATAAAACATTTAAACATACTTACGTGTCGCATTAGGCGAAGGATTGGTCGATTTGCGAGGGCATCATTAGCTTCGGCATGCCGAACTTCACTTTCTTAATGGATACACCTAAGTTTTCACCATTGCAAGCTCATGCCATTTTCGTTGTATATGTACCAATAATCCCGAATACGAGACTGTTCACAAAAAGAAACACTATTAATTTTGAGTATTGTATTAAGTGAATGCCCATCAATGTACTTAATTTATGTGTTATCTATTCGCACATTGTACTGTTAACATGCGTGTTGGGTCGATGCTGGAAACGTTAATACTTTCTAGAGCGTCTTCGGGTATAAGTTAATGCACTCACAATCCGACTTTGCATAATGTTTATTTACAATTTGGTTAATTTTACTAACAACGAAATATAAAACGACTCTGTGTCATTGAAATGTACAAACAAACACACGTTCAACTTATGTTACTAAAAGAAAAGAGGTAAAACCGTTTGGGTCTGGCTGCGTCAGGATCTTTGGGAGGTGAGCACATGCGAACGTATCGAGGGTGGACCATTCCGACGGCCGACTTCCGCAATGAAAGCGTTCTCCATTTGGTCGCATATCAGGTCAAAGAATATGTTGGCGACATTGCTGTGCAGCAGCGATTTAAATTTAAAGGACACCTTGAAGTCCAAGACGCAGGAGTTGGGTATGTCTTTCAGGCCCGGACTAAAACGCCACTCGTTAAGCAAGTAGTTGAACAAACGGCCATCATGGCACTCAGACTTGACCAGGCTGGGTGACTCCAGCGTCACTCTCGATGTGTACGCCTCGTTCAGTGGTGGGAAGCCAACAATGAGGTCGGCCTTGAAGCCGCTCTTATCACTGTCTACGGTGTGCACATGCGATCGCTTCACATAGGGAACAAATTTGTAGTAGTTGCTCACATCGGCGACCACTGTGTACATGTCATGCATGGAGTACCTGTGGATACAAACGAGTGATGTCAATGCCGCACTTGTGGCTTGAGGCGCTGGCACTTACCCCACAAGCTCCTTTTTGGTGTACCAACGATTTTTGGTGCGGAAATCATTGAACGTTATGTAGGACCTTTGGATGCTGTTGGCGAAACTGCGCTGCTGGCAACAGCTGCAAACGATAAAGCACACTCTCAGTGACACAGACAATTTAGCTAGTCCAAAATTGCAACTCTCCCCTTAGATGGAGATTATGTAATTTGCATTTACCTGCTGACCTTGATTCAATAAGTGACCTCAGGATTCTCACATCCAAAACTTTAAGTTTGCTGCCCTTTAGCATTTTAAGCAAAGCTGGAATATTCGTATACGGAAAAAATATATATTCCTGAGGTGTGTATGTTCCCTCCACTCCACCCTTCAGCAACAACAACAGCAAAGACGCAATCCACGCAGTAACAGCTGATTGCAGGGTTGCTGTACAGCTACACGGCAACCACATGTAGAACTACATGTGCAACTACATAAATATGTATAAAAATATACATTTCGAATTTTCTTATGAATATATTTATTTTCACATGATTGCACACAGCGAACCCTTCTCATCCTGCGGCACACTGAGCCCGGACAGCTCTCTTTGTTTCACCTCCAGATACGTGTTTTCGTTGCGCTTTGCCAGCCATTCTGGCAGAGGCTTTGCCCAATCTGCTGGCGGCTGCTTGCGTTTCTCCCAAGTGTTGTTGGCAAAGTGCGCCCGCAGTCGGATATGGCGGCGTTCCTCCTCGCTTTTGATGACAGCGGCACCGGCACACACATCGTTACCATTCGATTGATGATAGCGTTCGCAGTTTTTGTAGTCTGTCAGCCACTGGGAGCAATCGGTGTCCTGGCCAAATATAAAGTATTGATGGAATCGTGCTTTGAAACTCGTGCAGTCGTCGTACTCATCCTTGTACAGATGACAGGGTCGGATCTAAGGGAAAAATCCATTGGATATCTGCTCACAATTAAAGCCTGTTACTTACCGCCCACACATCAGCCAACGCTGTTTGTTTTTGCTCATATTTTGTGTCAGAATTTTCGTCTTTCTTGCCCATTTTAATTACATAAAAAATTCGAGCAACTTAAACAGCTGTTTCTGTTTATATATTGTGGATGTAGGGGGCTAGAGATGAGCCGATGTCACACTATCGTGACAAGCACGAAAATGCGCAGGCAAATAAATAACAAATTTAAAATATATAAATGAATTTAGATTAGATTGTAGAGTGGCGGCCAAAATTGTTCAGAGTCGGAGTCAGCATTGACCACAGGAAGGAAATGCATGTGCATGTAATGGAACTGGACCGGTGAAATGTGGATATCCAGGCTCGTGAGGATTTGTAGCCACATCGTCGGTGACGGCCTTGGTGAAGGCCTTCTCCTTCTCTTAATACAGAATAATTGCACAGTAAATTGATTGCAATTGAAAATTGTGAGCAACGAAAGTTGCTGGCAACTATTTATATTTTATCCATATAAAGATTGTAATATGCGCTCCCTATGTAAAATGGTTTTTAATGACGTACTTATTTAAAGCATTTCCAAGTATCTCTCAAGCGTTTTCAGCATATTACAACAGAACTTAAAAAAGTAAAATAACGTATCTGCAAGTACTTAATTACATTTAAAACCCGATGGCAAGTTACAACTAAATCGTAGTCAAAAATTTACATTGCTGCGTAGGAAGTGCTCCCTTGTTGTTTAACAAACTCTACGCATAATTTGATAATCGGTTTTTTCATCAGTGTTCTTTTTTTTACATAGCTGAGAACTGGGCATGAGTTGAATCGGTCTTGGGGCCAACTAAGCATACTAACTATAAGTATATAGTTTGTCTACGCTTGGGATAGGGGAAATTCTGTTATGATCTATATATATATTATATATTTATATAATTATATTTGCCGCGGGGCTTAAGTTCTAGTTTTAAACTTTAGTTTGACTTTTAATAGTTATAACCTAGAGAAAGTAAACGCACGACTCGTAAGCGTGTGTGTGTATGGGTGTTTATGTGTGTATATGGGGGTGGCCGCCAGTTCGTTTGATCTCAGGACAAGACACTCTCCAATTGCAGCAGCTGAAGCAGTTGCCGGTGACCGCCGCCCGATAGTTAGTACTTGTTGTGCTGGGCCAGTAGCTGCATGTCCGTCAGATACTTGATGATGTGCACCTTGGCCTCGGCTTTCTGTCGCACGCCCAGCGTGTTGAGCATGTCTGTGACGACCATGCCGAACGACTGATCCTCAGCGCTGACCGCCTGGGAGACAGTGTTTTGGAAAATCTTGATGGAGTTCAGCATGTTGTCGCTGTGCTCCTCCTCGCCGCGCTCCCGCTTCAGGGGAGGCTCGTAGAAATATGGCTTCTGGTCTTTGCCCACTGTAGTCGTCAGCTGTGCATCACTGGTAACAGTGATTTCTGCAAATAATTTCACAATTTAAATAATTCCAAAAGATTCGAAAGTTGTCATATCCTACCGTGCGGGTGGGTCAATGCCCCTGCCGAGGTAGTGGCGCTGCCATTGAATGGCTGTGTAAAGATGTCCACCACGGCCTGCTGTTGCTGCTGCTGCTGAGGATCAGACACCTGATTACCCTGGCTGCCGTTGGCACACTTTCCGAGCAACGACTCCCGGTACTGCCTGATGGAGTCCACAAGGAATTGCATTTGTTTAAAGTAGCGCCAGCGTGATTCCTGGCACAGCTTCATCTCGCGTGCAAACTTGTCGCGCAGACTCTTCCAGCGCTTTGTACATTTTTGTTCTGTTCGGAAAAATTAAATTAGTTTATTTCTTCAATGAAAATTCATAGGGCAATTCCAGTTCTGGTTCCAGGTCCCCCTAAAGAGTTGAAGTCCCCCCCAATACTACTGCCCCAGTGGGTGGCAGCTGCAAGTGACAGGTGAGAAAGGTAGCATAGCTGAGGAAGCATCAAATCACAAACCAAAACAAACCACAAGGCGTCGCGTCGTGTTTGCCACTGCTGATACCACACACACACACATTCGTACAAATATGTAGCAGCTGTTGGGCAGAAGCAGAAGCAGTAGCAGCAGCAGCAGCCGCAGCAGCTTCCAAGCTGCGTCAGCAGAGGCGTTGACGTGATGTCTGACGGTGACGTTACTGCCGACTTCGACTACGAAGTCGGTCCACCACCCACCGCCAAAGACGGAGGAAACCTGTGGCATTGTCTGATTGACGCTCCCGGCTTAAACTTTACAATATTGAATGTCTTGCATAATCAGTGGAAAAAGCTCACACAAAATGCGACAAATGTGCAGCATATAAACGAAAATTTAAATTTTTCGATTAAAAACGAACCAGGAGGGGGCGATGGGGGTTGTACGGTACATTTTGTTGGTATACTCGTGAAAAAGAAACGAAAGCTGCCTGGTCGGTAGCCGTTTCTGTGTCGTTGATTTTGTGTGCATGTGGGTATGTGTGTTTGTATGAGAGAGCTGTCAGCAGATGCAGTCAAACGGCGCTGTGGCAGAGTACAAAAATAAACGCCAGCGCAAGCAGAATATCTGTGGGTGCGACAGAGACAACTACTGCGACGCGACGGCAAAGTACAGCAACTTCAAAAATATGGACTGCGCACACTGCCACAAAGGCCTTTACACCGCCAGAGAGCGCAGGGGCGGAGCTAAAGACCCGATAGAGGGTCGTTAAATGTTGAATTTCACAAAACCACCCCTGTTACGCTGACTGCGCTCCTGTAATTTCTTAACCGTCTCTGTCGCCTCGCCATTCCGTTCACTTTTGCGTCGTTTTCTGTACACTTACACTTGCTTGCTATTGCTGCCTCTGCCACCGCCTCCGTCTCAGCCACTGTCGTCGTCGGCTAGCTCACCCTCTGTCGACCCCCTACCCCCTCACCGTGCAGAATTAATCAATTTTGTTGTTGTTGGGGCACCAGTCGCGACGTCTCTGCCCCATACTGTATCTAACTGAGATATACCCCGGACCGACCTGGACCTGAGACTGGGAGTCGAATCGAGTCAGACACAACGAATTTCACTTACCAGGCACTCCGAGCGTTTCGGCGATTTGTTTCCATGTCTGGGCTTTGCGGACAAAGTGTTTGTAGTTGTAGTGCGATCTGTCGTAAATTACGGGATTCAGTTTGACAGCCTCGATGAGATTCAGATCAAACTGCTGTTCCAAATTGGCATCCAGCTTGTCCATCTCAATGGCAGCCGTAAGTGTATGCACTGGGGGCGGGGGAACAAGACTGGAGTTATGGAAACTGACCACTCGAACTCGTTGGAAGGGGGGCAGGGCGGGGGAACACTCACTTTGCTTCTTTCGCTTGCTAATTGTTAATAAATATTTGGCGCGAACGCACGCTTAGTGTTTGTTTTTATTTCGAAGGGGGTTTCTTCTCCGAGGAAGGAACGGAACGTCGACGTTTCAATTTTATTTCTCAGTCGCTGCCAACAGTGAAATTTTTTCCCAAGAATGCAGTAGCAGCGCGTGAAGCAAGCAGCACAGCTCTAGATTGAACGCAACGCAGAAATAAAGCGAGTCGACGTAGACGGCGACGCTGCAGTCGCGTTGAAAACGGCAGAATATAGCGCTCTCTCTTGCTCGTGTGTGTCGGGCGGGCAGTCTGCTGCTAGCTCTCTTCCACTCGCTCAATCTCCGTGCAGTGCTGGTAAAGGCCGAAAACAGAGATGCTCGTGATGACGAAACAGTGAGGTTGTGACTGCTACAATAGGCCGATTCGATAAATGTGATTTTCAATCGATATATTTAAGAATGAGCCATCATGTAATAAATTCACATGTAATATTTAACATGTAGCTTATAAGCATGTGTAAAGCTGAGAGTCGTCGTTAGCTTGCAATTGTAAATAGCATATTAAAAATGAAAATGATTTTACATCGGTAGATTCCGTTCCCAGCGCGGAGACTCCTAACTAGCTAGTAATATCAAATAGAACATCAAAACCGTGAAAAATGGGTTAAGATTTACGATATATCTAAGGGTTCACGCATATTTTTGGTATATTTCTGTGGGATTTCAGATCCGATCCATAAAAGTTCATGCGGGATCGTCTGGCAAGGGAGAATTTCCCTGACCGTTTAGTCACAGGAGAGAAATTCCCTCAAAAAAATGTTCCCATCGACGATGGAAGAGGAGGGTAGTTTACCTTGAATACCTGGAATCTTTTGTGACGTATTTACCTGTTGTCGAACCTTAGGGTTGGCTTCCTTGCTTTATGAATACAAAATACAAATACAAACTTGTAAAATATAAGGTCATAAGGTAAACGATAGAATAAATAAGAGTATTTATAATAAGCCAAATTGATTCTTCAATCGGATTAAATTTTTGTGTCTTCGCTAACAGTCTGTGCATGCTAATAATGTCAAAAGGAACATCAAAATGGAGGAATATGATTAAAGACTGCGGTATATTTACGGTTTATGTTTTTGAATTACAGGGTATGTTTTGGTATATTTCCGAGGGTCTGTCGGTATATTTGTTCGATAATTTCGCGGTCACACTGACGACCATCTAATTCGACAAAAAAAAACAAAAACATAAAAAAATACCACCTTCCGCCACCCCCGCCACCCTCTTTTTGATTTCTTTGCTGGCGCTAGAACTACTTATTCATTGACTACGGAAAAGGTCACTACGCGTCGGAGCAGAGCAACCTCGGCGATTCACCGTGAATTGCAGTTGTGGAAAAATCAATTCGCGCGTGTGACGAAAACAAGTGGCACCATGACTGTGGGAACGTTTGATGCGTGGGATGCGGCGGTATTGATTAGCATTTTGGCCATTTCGGCACTGATTGGCATCTACTATCGGTACACGGGGGGGAAGCAGAAGACCACGAAGGAATATCTGATGGCGGATCAGAGCATGACGACGTTCCCGGTGTCCTTCAGCCTGATGGCGAGCTTCATGTCCGCCATCTCCCTGATGGGTGTTTCGAATGAATCGTATCAGTTTGGGACCATGTTTTGTGTTATCAACATCGCCTATTGGATCAGCACGCCCGTTGCCGCCTATATCTTTCTGCCGGTCTTCTATGGCATGCAAACGACCAGTGTCTATGAGTACCTGGAGCGTCGCTTTGGCCAGGCCACGCGTCTGTGTGCCTCCTTGGCGTTCACGATTCAAATGGTTCTCTACATGGGCATAGCACTGTACGCACCAGCTCTGGCCTTGGAGGCGGTTACCGGCATACAGAAGAGTACAGCCATATTGGTTATTGGACTGGTCTGCACCTTTTACTCGACACTCGGAGGCCTCAAGGCGGTCCTGATCACGGACGTCTTTCAGTCGTTTCTGATGTTCGCCGCCATCTTTGCGGTGATTGCTGTTTCCGGGATAAAGGCTGGCGGCTTGGGTGCCATCTGGCAGGTGGCCGCGGAGCGTGGCAGACTCGAGATTACCGAAGTTTCACTTGATCCAACGGTGCGGCACACCTGGTGGTCTCTAATCATTGGCGGCATGGTCACCTATCTCTCGCTCTATGGTGTGAATCAGACCCAGGTCCAGCGGCTCCTCAGCGTGCACAACCTGAAGAGTGCGCAGTCGGCGCTCTGGTGGAATTTACCCATATTGGGCATGCTAAGCTTCAGCACCATCTTCAGTGGGCTGGCCATCTTCTTCTACTACCGAGACTGCGACCCGCTGCTGGAGGAACGCATCAGCTCTCGGGACCAGCTCATGCCACTGTTCGCTGTGGACACTATGGGTAAGAATTATATTAAATATATATTCTCTGCAAGTGTATTTCATGTTTATTTTGCTGCCTTAGGGCAATATCCCGGCTTGTGTGGACTCTTTGTCTCGGGAATATTCTCCGCCAGCCTGTCCAGCATTTCGTCAGCAGTCACGTCTCTGTCTGCCGTTACCCTGGAGGACTACCTCAAGCCATTGTACAAAGTAATTTTTAAGCGGACTCTACTCGACTCCAAGTCCACGCTGCCCACCAAAGTTGTGGCTTTTATTTATGGACTGATCTGCATTGGACTGGCGTTCGGGGCTGGCTCCCTTGGCGGCGTCCTACAGGCCTCGCTTACCATCTTTGGCGTTGTGGGCGGACCTCTGCTGGCTGTATTCACGCTGGGTGTCTGCACGACGCGCAGTAATCAACGCGGCGTGCTACTGGGCTTCTTGCTGTCGCTAATCTTTGCCTTCTTCATTGGCTTTGGTGGACCCAAACCGCAACCGCAGACCCTCTCGTTCAGCACTTCAGGATGCGCAAACACCACCACAAGTCTTGTCGCAGAGGCTCTGCGCCTTGCCACAGAGAGCAGCAGTCCGGTGGTCAATGAGCCGCACTACTTATGGCTATATCGACTCTCCTATCTGTGGTTCAGTGTCCTCGGATTTCTCATCGCCTTGGTCATTGGCTACAGCGCCAGCAGACTGCTGACGTACTTTAAATGGGCGGACAACTCGCATATCTATTTGGACAAGTACAGGAAACAGCTGGACTACAGCCTATTTGCGCCTGTATTGTCTCGCCGGTGGCGGCGCCAAAATGAGCAACGAGCCCAGTCCATTCAGGATGAGACATTCACCAAGCTAACAGAGCAATAGTTCCTTCGCGTTAGGTTTAGTAGAATTTAATGAACAGTACTCAAAGCCGCATTAGTTGTAGGGCCTTAGACTAATTACTGATGCTGATGTCGTACCTTAAAGTGCATAACAATGTGACCTTTTCGTATACCTGTGTGAACAAAGCTGGCATGCAGATCCGACCATTACAGAGTCTTCCATAGAGAAATAATTATAATAGTTGTTTATTGTAGCAAAAAATATGTTCACGCTTACAAACATATATACATATACACTACCTCGTTGACATAATCAACAGATTGTTACATATTGAATACCCACTTAAGATGTTCCACAGACACTCAGCTATGACAATAACTCAAATTGTGGCCGATTCTTAATTTGAATGCTAGGCATTGGCAGTCACAATGCCTGACATGAATGTTTTTACCGAAATACTTAATATTATTTATTGTTCAGTTACATATTTATAAGTTCAGGGTTAAGAATAAGAAGAGATTAGCTCGATATCAGGGTTTTACAGTGATCACCCCCTACTAATAGTTATGGAAATGTTTAGATTTTTGTGCGAGAAGCACTCGCATACGCATCTTCTCGTACTGGGCAATTTTGTGACCTATTTATATACTTACATAAATATATATACAAAGATGTACAAAAAATACTTCATACGAGTCGCTACCAATTATTGAACAAGATTTACTGTGTATTTGCGCAAAAACTATTAAAATGAAGTGTTCAACTATGTATGTGGAAATGGCAATTGTTTACCCCAGGAGTCTGCAAATCGTATACCTAGAATACCCGATTAGCTGAGAACTTCCCTCGCCGATAAGCAAATTTGTTCCGCTATCAGCCTAGGTTGCGTGAGGCTTTTCCTCCGCCTGTCGGACTCTATTTCGGAATGAATGTCGTAACTCTTGTCCGTTTACCTTTGCAATTTGGCTGTTTTGTCATGTTGCGCCATGCGGCACAAAGTCTAATTGAGAGCATGGGCCAGCAAATTGTTTGGCAATTGGAGACGTCAAAGGTTCCCCCCATGTGAATCGATTGATTTGCTTTTAAACAAATTCCAATTGCAATAGTAAACTGTTCATTGAAACGATTCACGTGATGTCTGTGTGTGTGTGTGTGTGTGGATTGGATGTGGAAAGTTTTCTAATTGGAGGTTCAAAGTTCCCATCGCCTCTCCACACTGACACACATTCCACTGCCAAAATTTCTGTTGAAAGAAGAACTCAAAGTAAAAGGAAAGAACAGAAACGGCAAACCTGTTCTAGCCAAAGTTCGATTACCCCCACTTTATTTTAGGGTATTTAATCTAACAGATAAATTGATTAATATAAGCCCGTATACTTGTATCTGTAGCTACTATATTTATCAGATAACTTTCTACTTCACAGCTTAAAGGTTCAAGCTTCAATCACACCCCATTATGCGTCGCCGAAATCGCGTTGCCATGTTCTGTTTATTGTACCCAATGCCCATCGAATATTAGGCTCATGGAAAAGAATGGACACAGCATAGATCACGTGATAAGCATGCTTTTCTTCATTTGTCTCTTGAGTCATTAATAGATGAGATTCATTTAAAGTCGTTTAGATGGCTTCAAAGCCTGTCGCTTGTGGCTAACTATACATTATGTAGCAGTATCGAATAGATAAGATATAATATTGCCAAGATATTGCCTGATTCATGCGAGTCAAACTGCTAGTTGCGGGTCTAGGGTCCAAAGAGAAATATATAATATTGTAAGTGTATAATTTGCAGTTCTATGAGCATGGCATGCACTCAGACAGATTTCTTTATGGTTACTGGTGGTAGTAACAATGCACAGGTGCCACTTTTACTGCTAATTAGTTTCACTAAAAAGTTATTGTTTTCGTTGGGAGTTTGGCTGTTACAGCGATCTATAGGAGGAACAATTGGTCCCCGTTTCATTTTACTGAAGAAATTTAAATAAGATACGCGCGTTTTAATACCCTACCCTACAGCTATCGATTGAACGATATATCGTTTAGAAAAGTTAATTATTTCGATCGCGCCATATCGATAGCAGCGAGCTTTCGGCGAGGGTGCTTTAATTAACCGTTTGAGTTTATCGTTTATAATTGAGCCCTGGCAATCAGCTGTTCGTTTAAAGTTTAATAGGCAGAAAAACATTTTACAATAAAAAACTACACAAAAAAATGGCCCTGCGACGTTGTCATCTAAATCCGAAGAAAACTTTATTCCTGCTATGCGACATACAGGAAAAGTTTCGGCCTGCTATGCCGCTTTTCGACAACATGATCAAGAATGTTGACAAGTTGGTGAGTTTTGAACTTTGACTGGGAACTTCGCTCTTATCTGCGGGGTTTGTTGAGATTAACCAAGTTCCATTGCAGACCAAAGCGGGCAAAGCTCTGGATGTACCACTTATCGTCACCGAGCATTATCCCGAGAAGCTGGGCAAAACTGTGGCCCAGCTGGACGTGAGCCACGCAAAACTGGTGTCCGGTAAGACGCTCTTCAGCATGGTTACCCCGGAGGTGAAAGCCGTAATCAAGGATGTCTTTAGCGATAAGCCGGAAGATGTTGTCCTGTACGGCTTGGAGGTTGGTTCCTAATCAAATGTACATAAACCATAAAACCATTACTCAAATTTCATTCCTCAAATAGTCGCACATTTGTGTGGAACAAACAGCCATTGATCTCTTGGAGCAGAACATCAACGTATACATTGTGGCGGACTGCTGTTCTTCCCGGCTAAACCAGGATCGGGACTTGGCTCTGGATAGATTGCGCCAGGCTGGCTGTGTGATAACCACCAGCGAGAGCGTCATCTTCGATCTTGTCCGCGATAAGAATAATGCAAAATTCGATGTTATACGCAAGCTGGTCAGTCAGCCCTCGGTGGACATGGAACTGACGCGCTCTGGAGCCGGTCTGCCGGCAGGCAGTGCGAAATTGTGAGAAGCCTCTTCTGTGGCTTTATCCTATCCTGTTTTTGCGATGTTAAATGCATTTATATTAAAATCATACAGAAACGTTTAATATTTGAAGGAGACTCCTCAGTGATGAGGATGGCCCTGCGGCTTAGTTGGCTGAGGCTTCCTGGGCTGCGAATGGGGATGGACTGGCCGGGGCTCTTCCTTGTGCGGATGCGCATCGATGTAGGCCAGGGCCCGGAGAATGGCCTCTGGAGTGGGCGGTGGCGTGGGCAGGAGATCCCCGTGCGGATGATAGCCATTCTCATCGGCCGTGTAGGACACCTTAACGGGCAGTCCCTCCTTGGAGGTGAAGTGATATTCGCCATGGACCTGATGCTCGTCCCCAGCCTCTCCAGCGCCGATGCCATTGGTTATGTCATAGCCGTAGGAGAACTTTCCATGTCCGTCCTCCTTCTTGTACTGCTTCTCCACATGAGCATGCGCATCGTCATCGCTGGATGTGGCGGTGGCGGTGCAGGCGGCTACCAGCAGGACGAGGGCCAACTGAGATGCAAACATTTGGGTGAACAAACAGAGCGACTGTGGCTTCGACTTTCAGCCTTCACTTACGTATTTGAACATTCTGAAAATGTGTGCTAAAGCAAACTGTTGGTCAATGAAATAAGGCCTAATGCTTATATACTTTCAATCGAAAATGTAAGCCGAACGAGTGCCGAAATTCGAAATTCGAAATTCCTGTGAAACCAGTTGGGAGAGCTGGCAGATCCACCCGTGAAATGTCATAAATTAAATGGAGCTAAATGATGCCAACGTTTAATTGCACATGATCACAAACAAATATTTCGTAAATATATAGTCAAGGTCATCACTTGATCTGCTGATCAGTTAATTTAGGGATGAAAGCCGGTGGCAGAACGACGTCCTCCCCCGACATTTACATTTCCCAAATGCGATTGCTAGTCTCGATCATTTATTTGAAAGCTCAACATGTCACTGTGTGTCCTGCCTGGTCCTGCCTTTGGACTGGATACAAGTGCCTGGGCATAGCCGTCTCCTGGTTTACGGCTGCCCAGAATTTTGCCAAAGCCCTTGACTAGGTGGTGGTAGGGTTTCTTGTATGGCGAAAAAGCCTTTACTTCCTTCTTCTTCACATCATCCTTTGTGGATAGCACTGAGGGATAGAGCTGTGCTATTTCTGCATCGATATCGGAGTCAAAGGGCTCGTTGGTGGCAGTGGGATCGGTTTCAGCATTCTGGGTAAGTTTCATGCTAAATTTCTCATGACATTTCTCGGCTTCCTTAAGGGCAGTGGACACTAACTGATTCATGTCCCAGGACACGTCCAGCTTGGACTTGATTTCATCGGATATGGTATCGTCTTTCTTTGAAGAGAAAAGCCTGCGAAACAGGTTCTTCATTTCGTCTGAATTCGGTTCATCAAAGGAGCGCACTAGTCGGTCGTTTTCCATCACCGCGGAGTCAATTTCCTTCGCATTTCCCGCTTTGGCTACGACAGGATCTGTTTCTCGGTCAAAATTCAGCTTTGGAGCATACTGAAGGACATTGGGCAGGTACCCTCGACTCTTCAGGTAACCTATCGGGGACTGCCAGTTGTCTATAAGGTCTTGAACAATTGTTTCTGCGGAGTTCTGATAGTTGAGAACTTTTAAATTATCCGCAGTGGCCGTATAAAATATAATAAAATATAGAACAAACGAAATCATTGTAGCAGCCGTACTTTGAAATTGAAATGATTAGCCTGCTATCGAATAAATTCTGAACATGTCATGCTCTGACAGTTAACAGGTGTTAAACAGAATTTAATGATGCATCGAATAAAATTATAGTTTTAAAGCTGAGAGTCCTAACTAGCTAGTAATATTAAACAGAACATCAAAATCGAGGAATATGATTGAAACTTTCGGTATACTTACAGTATATTTGGAAAATGCGAGGGTATATCTCGGTATATTACCGATGGTCTGTCCGTCTATTTTATCGTTAAATCCGCGGTCACACTGGAGTACATAACAACTGGACTTAATTGGCAATTGAAAAACAACAACAAAAACAATCAAATTTAGTTAAATGTGTACTGCAGCTGGTCAAATTTTCAGCGCCCTATTGAGACAAAGTTTGCTCCTGCGTAATGTGTACGCGGTCAGGTCGATATCAGAACCGAGATCCCAATCAGAATCCCGCGCCCTGAGCACGGATTCTGGAGCAGCCGTTACAAGGGCTTCTCCTGCAGGGCCAGGAACCCCCACTGTAACCGCTGCCCTAGCTCAAATATCGAATCCAAAAACCGTGAGTGATTACAAAGAGCTGTACGAAACCACAAAAAAGAAGTTTCAATGTAAGCCTTAACCTGTCGCAGCGTTGGCATGTGCAGTTCGTGTGCACAATTCTATAAATAGCAGCCCACCCCCCCCAGCAATGTGCTCAAAATTCACATACACACGTGTTGACCTTTGCAGCCAAAAAGCTACCCGTGGATGTACATCCAGATGCTGTGTTCGCGTGCAACGAGCTGGACCTCAGCGAGGTACAGGTGTATGGGTTCGACTATGACTACACCCTGGCCTGCTACAAGCCCATTCTGGAAGATCTTCTGTACAATTTGGCTAGGGAGATGCTGGTGAAGCGTTTCAGGTATCCCGAGGAAATTTTGGATCTGGAATACGAGCCGAACTTCGCTGTGCGCGGGCTGCACTATGATGTGGAGAAGGGGCTGTTGGTCAAGCTGGACTCGTTCCTGCAGCTGCAGCTGGGCTCCGTCTACCGGGGGCGAACAAAAGTCGGGGCCGACGAGGTGCTCAATTTATATCACAACCGGCTCCTGCCCATTGCCTATGTCGAAGGGCCAAACAATAGCTATAGGGTGAGGAACCATTTTAGTCTGGAGTAAGCAGCAATCGGGAGTTTTATTTATCCCTTTCCTCTTCCCCTTTGCAGCACAATACCAACTCGAAGATGGTTCAGCTGGCTGATCTGTTTTCGGTACCTGAAATGTGCCTCCTGTGCAATGTAATCGAATATTTCGAGCGTAATCGCATCGACTACAACCCCGAGATAGTTTTCCATGACACACGAACTGCCATGGGCTCTTGCCATCCCATCATGCATGGCAAAGTAATGGTAAACACCGCCAAGTACATTGAACGCAATCCCAAGCTGGTCAAGTTCTTTGAAAAACTGCAGAATGCCGGAAAGAATCTCTTTTTGGTCACCAACAGTCCGTTCTCCTTTGTGTAAGTATCAGTACCTTGACTGTGCAAGTAGATGATATAAATTTCGCTCGTGTTTCAGGAACTGCGGCATGACATTTCTTGTGGGCGCCAATTGGAGAGATTTCTTCGATGTGGTTATTGTGCAGGCGCGCAAGCCCAAGTTCTTCACCGACGAATCTCGGCCCATTAGGCTCTTTGATGAGAAGACGAGATCCCATCTGTGGGATCGTGTCTTTAATTTGGAAAAGGGAAAAATATATTACGAAGGCTCTGTGCGACAGCTGCAGGAACTGAAGGGCTGGCGCGGTCATTCGGTGCTTTATTTTGGCGATCATCCGTACAGTGACCTGGCGGACGTCACTCTGAAGCACAGCTGGCGGACAGGTGCAATCATCAGTGAGCTAGCGGTGGGTATAGAGTGCAATCCGAGTTATTGGGATGCTTTTATTCACAATGAATCATTTGCAGCATGAAATCAAGACCCTTAACCGAGAGGACTTCAAGATGAGCGCCAACTGGCTTCAGATGCTGACGCAGCTTATCGAGGAGACACAGGACGACGAGAGTGAGCCCGCCCAGGCTTGCCTGCGCGAATGGATGGAGGAGCGGGATCAGTTGCGGTACGAAAAACGCTTAACATTTTAATGTACAGCCATAATCATTGTGCCACTTTGCAGCAACAAAACGAAGAACGTGTTCAACGAGCAGTTCGGGAGTGTGTTCCGCACGTACCACAATCCAACGTACTTCTCGAGGCGGCTGTTCCGATTTGCCGACATCTACACAAGTGACATAACCAACTTGCTCAAGTTCTCGACCACGCATACGTTTTATCCGCGTCGTGGCGTGATGCCCCACGAATATGCCTCGCACTTTATTTAGATGTCAGGATGTTTAGTTTTTGTAATCGTAGGACAAAAAGTGCCAGTGCTGAAGCATGCTTGTAGCTCGAAACTAGTTGAATTTATATTGTGTATAGCGTTATTTACATTGTTGCTCAATTAAATCGTTGTAAAAGTTATTGAAGATCGCAATGTGCTCACCGTTCTGGTACTCCTTATCTCTTTTGCCTGCTGATTGATACAATTGTAGTTGCTCAATGCCCATAGATCGCACAGATAGGGAGAGGCCATGGGCTGGCATAGTTTATGGAGTTGTTGACGGAATGGCAGCTCACATCAGGCTGGAGGCACATTGCTGTCTCAGCTCAAGGGCCATACAGCAGGTGGCCTTATTTGCCTTGCTGTACGGCTTCCTTGGCAAACATTTATGAATGAAAACCTGCGAAAAGCGTTTAGTTCTAGGATGGGTTTTACGGCAGAGATCAAATTCAGCAACAAAATAATTAACCATAAGCTGCAAACCTTTTTTAATTAAATTTATTACATTTTTTAAGACCATGGAGGGAAAAAAATTAACCCATTGTCCACCAAGTGTTATTTAAATTTACGCGCGAATATTATGAAATTAGAAAAAGCTTACCACAGTTCAGGTGAAAGATATCGTGGTCATTTCGTTATTGAAAGTATGTAGGAAAGTACGGATCTACAAGAAGAATTTACAAATGTAGTTATTTTCCGCGGTTTACCTTAAGTTGTGCAATTGTTTAAACAGAGCGGGGTTAAGATGGCAAAGTCATTTTTTCTTTGGTATTTTTACGGTATCTTTTAATATAACAGACATATTTTAATTATAAATCCGCGGTCACACTGCCACAGATTTTTCTTTGGAGCAACAATTTGATTTAATTTTAATAAACAACGAAAAGTCTTTGAGTGCAGAGCTAATTGCGACTTCGAATAGTGAAACGAATTAAAGAATAATTGCACCACAGTACATTGTGATTGTCGCTTATAAAACAAATTATAATAGTAAAGTGATTTGTTGCGAGCTTAGCGGCGTAGTTCCAGTGGTAAGTGAAATAAATATAAATCTTGTCTAGTGTCTGCATATTTAACAGCATCTGATTAGGGAAACTCTTAAAACAAATTGCGTCATGCACTTTCCATCCCCCCAAGACCCAAGACAACAACTTATTGGAATAAATAATGCATTCCAGCAGCATCTAGCAGAGTCAGCTGTTTTGTTGTTTTGTGATTATATTATATTCTTCCCTCTTCCGCATATTCTCTTGCGCTGCTCTTTCGCTTAGCTTAGCTCTTCTTTGTTTAGTTTTAATTGCGCGAGACGGCCATTTCTGCGTTTCAACAAACAGACGCATTTTGAGTTTTGCCCTCCCTCTCTTTGTATTGACCTATTTTTTTTTCTTTCCATTTGTCTGCTGTTTGCTTTATCTACCGTTTGGTTATTTACAACACCAGTTAGGGTATGTAGATGATTCACCTTGAAAGCATTTCAAAACCAGTTTTTAGCCCTCGAACTTGGCAAAAATGATTATTGCAACAAAAGTAACAATTTTATCAAATGCGTCTCACGTTTTGTTTTTGAAATACGCTACAAGATCGCAAAAACAATTGCAACAAATATGGCAGACGAGACTCTTAAAAACCACACAACACACACACACACTTGCAGAGAGAGATGAGATAGCAAAGAGCGGCGCAAAGTGGAATGGCCGATTAGATAGCGGGTATTGTTCGAAATCGAATTCGAAAACTAAGCTAACAAAACAAAGCAAAACTCCCCCGATAGCATGGCGATCCGCCCCCTGTATTAGTCAGCATACAATTAAAAATGTATTAACTTAAACCAGTAAAAGCCCCTTCCCCTGAAGAGAGTACATGACTAGGTATTGTGGACAGCTGGACACAACTTCACGTGATTGAATGATGTTGGCTAATGTGATAAATTTTACAGATTATATAAAATGCGGACAGCATTGATTCTCTCCCTCCTGGCCCTGGTGGCAGTTGCGCAGGCCGTCTCCTATGCCGAGGTCATCCAGGAGGAATGGCACACCTTCAAGGTGAGTACTGTTCTCCGATCCAGTGATATGTCACCAGGAAATCCGAGCTCAGCAAGTGTTTTGTGACAGGGGGCAGGCAGCGGCTTTGTGGCGATGATTAATATTTTGTTGGTCTTTTGTTTGCATAGTTGGACTGCTTTTCCATTGTCTTTCGCTGCATATGATGCTTTTCCCGATTGTGGCTGCCTTTCGAGGGTGGCGTGCTGAGTCACGAGTGAATGCACTGCACTGGGCATGCATCCATTATAGAACCCAGCAGATAGCAGTCCAGGCTTGTCTTGGACTCGGTCACATGCTTGCTCACATGACAGCCGCTTAGTCCATCCGCAAACGCTGTCATCTGACAGACCGCCTACTATTTCTGTGGTGCCGTCGCGGGTTAGTCCGATGGCGATAAGCCGCGGCTTGTGCTGTGACTGGGCCACTGATAAGCCGGCCTGCGACCCATTCATGCATTGTACTTTTTTTTCGCAACCATTTCCTAATCATTAATGTCGCAGGCTTTTGCTGTTCTGTTCCCCTTACCTCGTTCTGAATCATTTGCACTGCTTAATGGTTTGTGTAAGAGTAAGAATCGGCCCCTATTTTCATCCAAATCAATTGATTTGCAATGCGACTGGACTGTACCCATTATGGGGATCTATTTGCTTATCAGTCTGTAAGTCAATTGAAAGGTTTACGACTCGAGCTAAGCGAAAAACAATTGTTTCTGTCTGTATACTCAAAACTCAAAACAAAGTATATTCATGTACTGGCGTGCCATGCGCCATTAACTGTTGTCCCCAATGTATTATTATAAATTGCTTGTACTGATATCGTGTGAAAAGCTATATAATTGCCATGGATACTTCTTACACATAATATGTACACATATACAAATGTATATATATATTTCGTTGCATTAGTTTTCATTTTAAATACTCCCGCCATATTAGCGGATGGACTTTATTCTTGGTGTTGCAAGCCAAACAGCTGTTTTGTTTGCAGCGTACGGTCACACTTGTAAAAAAGTGCTGCCCATACTTGTGCTCCGTTGCTGAATAAAAAGCCGCGCAGTTCAAATTCATGTACGCTTGCTATAGTCTTTAGTCCCGTTTCAGCGAAACTTTAATCTCACAGTGCAGTCCGAAGTTCTGGAGTCAGCTGCTTGCTCATTTACATATTTACAGTTGCATGGCTGCCATTTTGTCTGAGATAAGCTTACACTTAGTTTATATTATTTGTTGTATTTAATGCGCTTCCACAAGCAACAACACTAAGCAATCTAATAGAAACGAAACGGTTGGGATAAGTTGGAAATGCGGCGTGACGCACGGGATCGCTCCGCTTATCAAATTGGCATTTTGTTTTCGTTTGTGATGGGGAGCTAAGAATTAAAGCAGAGAGCTTTTGGCTCTCACAGAACAACAAGAAAGTGCTAGAGAGAGGCAAAGGCAGAGAGGCGGGCACGAGCGCGATATTTTGAGCGAGAAGTGCAAAAAAAAAAAGCACCGCACCGAAAAATCGACAAGTGGCGAAACTAATATGCTGACTGGCCAAAGACGACAGCAATGATAATGATATAAGTACCCTATGAATGGTATGTTTCACAGGCGGATATAAAGATATATGTATGTAGATATGTAGGTGCTCCAACCGGTTGGTGTGGCCAATGTTTGCATACATTTGATAACATCCTTATAAATCATCCGCTCCGCCTATACAAATTTGCCAAAACGGAAACCGGTTCGGGTGTTTGAATTCAGTCTGCGCACGCTGCACAAAACGATATACGAATACGAGTACGTACCGTCCCACGAACAACTTGAAATAGTTGTTGATATTTTTTTGTGTGTGTTTTACGTACGTCTGTGTGTGTATGCGCTCGGAACAGGCAACCGTTTCCAAGATGCAACTGTACAAGGTGGTCCCATCGGCAAAGTGTAGTCTACTAACTATGCTGTTAAGAAGATGTGCTGTTAGAGTGTGCTGATTAACCCTTAGATGGCATGCGGTTTAATATTGCCCATTACAAGAAAAAGACGTTGCAGTTATGTTTTAATTGGAGGCTCTTAATTCTAAAATATATTCTACATTTTTTGCTGCAAAAACTGAAAAGTAAGTTTTCCTGCGTGCAAGGGCTTATATATGCATTTATACACAAACCTTCATGTCAACAAACGAACACGCACTGAAAAATAATTGACTGAAAACCGACGCTTCGGCAAGCGACGAGACCACCTTGTACAATTCCATTATGCTCGGAACCGTTGGTGGTGGTTGCTATTTTTATTTTTCCCGCCCGACACTAAGCAAGCGGCAGCACGAGAGAGCACAGCAGAGCACAGAAGCAGCAGAAGCGAGAGAAGCCACCTTGGGAGAGGAAAAGAAATTAAAGGAGCCGAGAGCACGGAAGGCTCCCTCCCATTCACCATCGAAAAGAAAAAGCACGCGCGTCATCGCAAACGAAAACGTGTTGGCTAGATAGCCAGGGAATTGCCGGAAAATTACATAAAATTGGAATAGAAAAAGAAGTACAACTGAACCATGGCCAGTGGGAGTCCGAATGACCTAAACGTGACAGTAGATGTGGTTCTGCCCACACTCTTGGTGGTGGCCATGCTCGTGATAAACGGCTTTGTCTTCCACTTCATCATGCGAAAACGTCGCCAGTGGAAGGAAACGTTGGGCGCCGTGGAATCAGGCTCTCCCGACATTGAGATGGAGCACCTGTAGAGCCTGTAGAGCATCAACCTGGAACTAGCCCGTTAGTGAGAGCAAATTCGCCTTAGCCGTTGGGTTAACTAAGATACTCAGCATCGTCCAAGCTCAACTGCAAACGCAATGCCTGTCCTGTCCTGCCCTGCCCTGCCGCCCATCCATCAACCCCACAGCTAAAGTGCTAAACAGATCAATAGGCAAATGGGTGTCGTCTCGTCTCGCGGGAATGCCACTGAAATCTTGCCTATACTATAGATAGCACATACTATACAGAGTGTATACGCCGGGTACCTTTAGATAATTCACGTGCATTTAATTACGGTTTCTACGTTTGTAAGCGCTCATCTTATTTCTCGCCATTAAATTTTCTACAAAATATACAACAATAAAAATGTGTGAA